CCTGTAAAAATTTATATCTATAGTAGAAAATACTAATGAACAAATAAGAAAGTCAATGGTAACAGGTTTCCAACATTTTTCAAAAAAAAAAAATATGTATGATGCTTCTGGGTGAACTATGTAGATAATACAACAAAACTTTTAAATGTCACCTCACTAAGTCTTATTAGTGGAATAATACTCTGAATTTCATCTTACGTTTTGTCCAAATATATACATCTACACCTAGATGTATATATTTTGTTGTATTCATTTGTCTTCCTCCTTAATATTTATAATATTAAATATTAAAATATATTGTCCATAAAACCTAACATTATTACAAAAATGGTACAAAAACAAATACTTTTATAAACATAAACTTTATATCCCAATAGGTAAACTATCAAGACAATAAAAAGTCTAATGCCAAGCTTAACAAGATAAATATTTCCATACTGGTAAGTCGCTTAAATTCGGTTAAGATCCCCATTTAAGATGTCATAACAAACGGCTTCTTTCCAAAATACCGCCCTTCAAAGACATGCCAGGAAATCCAACGTCAGCAAACACGAACAGGCACAATGACTGACAGCAGGAGAACATTTCTGATTATATGGTGTTGGCCATTTCTTTTTTGCTGTTTACAGAGCCTTGGGCTATCACCGACACAGGTACACATATTCCTGTAATATCTGTCATGTAATAGAGGGATACTTTAAGTCAGGTATTTAAAAAAACAAACAAACAGCTTACCACACCTTCGGCACTCTCCAATGACTTGAAATAGCATCCTATCCATTTAGTTTGTGTATGAAGACGGAAAAACAACAGAATCAGCATCTGACTCACTTTTGCGGAAATGCAAGTTATCATTCATTCTACTGACGTCCACTGAATGTCCATTAGCTTTGTAAAACATAATTCTGTATCACTGCTTTAGCGGAAAAAAATCTATAAAATGGTTTGAGATCAGTGTCAGCAAATCCCAAAGAATTTACAGCAAGTACAAAAATCACTAAATGTATATCAGAATCTCAATTGGCTTTGCACTAATTTCCTGGTCAAGAAAACTGGATTTCTAAAGGCCCTGAAATATCTTAAAGAGCCCATATTGTGGGTTTTCGAAAATGAGCTTCCATGTAGTGTGTAACAGATCTAAGTGAAGTGAAATATCCACCTAAAACTTAAATCTGAAAGTGGACAGTTTGTAAAACTATTGATTCATCTAAAAAAAAAAAAGGAGTCGACTCATAGTTGTTAGAATGAATCGTCTTCATAACGAGTCTTTAGCCGTTTCGGCGTGACGTGACTACGAAACATAGTTGTTATGGGCGCAAACCCGGGAAAATTTAAACCTGCGCACCGCCCACTAACACAGCCGCGAAGACAAACAGATCCTGAAGTCATAAGTCAAGAGGATGCTGTGCTTACCTGGATATTATTGGAAGTGTGAGGGGAAATAATTGATTCAGCAGTCAACACGCTTACAGTGGGCGATTCATTCGTTTGTTAAGGGAAGGATCAGAAAAGACTGGTGTATGAGACTTGTGAGAATGGGCAGACAATACACTAGGGGTGCGTGCAAAATAAGGCCAGTTTATTAGGCACAAAGGCAGCATGCTACACGCTGGTGAGCACTACAACCCCCTGGCTGGGGATGGGATCTTTGGGCAAAGCAGAGTACAGGTAAGCCCTGAGAACATAAAACATTTCACACAAGAGGTGCCAGAGCAACACTTGCAAATAGAAATGATCTAAGTTACAGCTGAGAAGGGAGAAAAGCTTGGTGACGGAAATCACACTCAGTAAATGATGTGCACGCTATCGGTTTCATTTTTACTGCTAAGTGTGGTTCATACTTCCCGTGCGGGGGTTATGACGGTCACGGGGTTATCGCGCGGCAAGTCCGCTGGGGGCTTGACAAACCGCGCTGGGTATTTGTCTCGCGCTGGGCATTTGTCTAGTGCTGAACGCTGTCGACCAACCGCAACAGGCTGTCATCGGTCCAATCAGCGCAGATTAGCTTCGCGCTAAGGAGGGGTTTGGGAACAAATAAACCTCAGAACGATTAATATGACCCTTTTTCATGTATAATATGGGCTCTTTAAGCAAAAATAGAGAACAAACTGGTGTGACAGTTCTGAACAAAATCAGACCAAAATTACGATTATTTTGAGTTTGTTTCAAAAGCCTGCAACAGCTTGCAGAAGCAAACAGTACGGAAAGGTTTACCACTTCAGCTGGTAAACATCTTTGAAATACTACTGGACGGTGGCGATGATAGAATAGGTAGGCAAGACTATGGCCCTGTTTACACAAATACATTTTAGTTTTAAAACGCATAAGTTCCTGCAGTTACGCCTTTCGTCCACACTATGCCGGAGTTTTCGAGCCCTGAAAAAATAGCATTCTGGAAACCCTGAAGAGGCCTTTTTGGTTTTAAAGCGCTGCTGCTTCATATCAGTGTAGATGGGGGGGTATGGAGACATCTGAAATCGGAGGTGAGGCTGCAGAGTAGACATTCACCTATCTGATTTGGGCTTTTACATCAATATTAGGCTAGTGCACAAAGTTCAGTCTTGCATCCTTTCCTTGTAAGTTTAGCCTTCACAAGTTTGATATGGAAAACAAACTCCTGAGGACACATCGGGTACATCTTCAAAGGGAACAGTGTACTTTCTAACATCATTCACAACATCCTGGCCACATTGCTTTACTATCTTAACAATTAAATGAAAACATGACATAAGGAACTGCCTATTTTCATTGTGATTTTAACTTAACAGACATTAAAAATGTTGAGGCGTCGTGTAGATACATATTTATATGACCCTAATCTTCACTGTATGCATATTTATAACAAAATGGATCCCTTTAGCATTACTAGCTCATTTCATTTTCTTCGAAAAATATGAAACATACAGTCTCTTTTGCTAAATGTCAGTTTTAATAATCAATAACGGCCATATTAAAAGTATAACACACAATGAGTTTATACAATATAAGCAAGCAAGCAGTCAAATAAGCATAATCTGTGTACGCAATTACATAAATTAAAAATATCAACTTATTTTTGCTCTCAGCCAAAACATGTTACCTGAGAACAAGTAATAGATTTAAGAGACCGAAGAGCTGTTAGATATAGAGAAGGTTAATTAAATATTACTTTTAACAACTATAGTGAGATGAAATCCAGCGGAAGATCCTTGGTGAACCGTCTGACCTGCGCTGCTCTCATCTGGGGAGTTGCCCACAGAGCACCCGGTAACTGCCTTGAGCTCAGATGCGGGTATATGCTGCAGCGCACGCCAGAGTGTGTGTGGTCAGGTGATGTGCGTTTTCAGCAGTGTAGTTTCGACAGTGAGCTATGCAGAAATGCTAGGTAAAACGCCAGTGTGGACGTGGATCGATTTTGTTCTAAAATTCTTTTTTTAAAAACTAAAACGTATTGGTGTAAATGGGGCCTATGAGTCTCCTCCTGCTTTGACATGTAAATCTTAAAGGAAAACTCCTCTTTTTTTTGGAAAATATGCATATTTTACAACTTCCCTAGGAGTTGAACAGTGAGTTTTACCATTTTTTAATCCATTCAGCTGAACTTTGGTTTTGACAGGAGCATTTTAGCTTAGCATAAATCATTAAATCAGATTAGACCGTTAGGCAGCACCATGGCTGCAGAAGGTGCAATGATATTACGCAGATTCTAACAGGTAGTGTAGGGCTTGGTGCTATTAGACTATTTTCTGAATATTTGCAAAATATCATTGCGTCGAATATTCTAGCCCTATCAGTGTAGAAAAAGCTATTTTTACATTTCCACTGATCTTAGTACACATGTAACTATAAAAGTGTCAAGATTTAAATAGGATTTTTTTTTTGAGCGAGATGCTAATGATTTATTCTGATTTAATGATTTAAGCTAAGCAAATGCTGGCTCATACTGTGCAATTTTTTAATAATAATTTTCGAATTTTTTTTATAAACGATTGTAGTATGTCAGACTGCACGAACAGGACTCCCATGTCACACTGTAAGATCTCAGCTGTCATAATGTCAGATTGAAAAACAATAAAGACGCGCCAAACATGGAAGAAAACTCCTGTGGAATTTAACGTCTCCATCTGTGACACTTTCACTATCCTGCATTCTGAAATGATTCCTTACTGCAAAGTGAACAATCTATAGCGGCAATTTCGCACACAGCATGTCTCAATGATAAAACCAGGGAGATAAAAAACTGTTATGACATTTCCCGCGGTAATATGAATTGTTGTATGGATTGAGTCATCTGATTTGGCTATTGGTTCTTGGATTGATCCTTATTGCAGCTGTTGTCACACTGCAGGAAAGGAAATCTTCTGACACTGGCAGGAAAAATCTGATCGCAATGTGCATTAAGCGGCTGTCTGTGAACATGTCAAACCAACAATCAAAGATCACAGATTTTAGAATTTCAGGAATAGTTTAGGATTCCCTAAATTTGTCTCAGACAACAAAATCCTGGCTGAAATCCCACATTGAGAGCAGGGCTTAAGTTTAAGACCCAGAGATTGGCTGAATTGATTCTGCTGAAAAGCTAAATGGTAAAGAACTCAACTGTTTTACTCTAGGATTGATGTAAAATTAGCATATTTTCAATATGCCAGATGCCAACGAGTCAAAATGTGAACACTGAGAAAAAGCTACTTTATAGTGTACTATATAGTATACTTTTATAATACTTACTAATACTAATGCTTAGTATTCAACACACTTGCAAAATAATATGGCTAATAATGTAAAGCTGTTTACTTTAGAGCAATCTGCAATGTAAAGACCTATTAATAAACGTGATGTGCATGGAATGGCAAAGATTGTGCGAACATCCACGTTGCTACCATGAGATGAACAAAAATAAACATCACAGTGAGTATATCGGGGCCTTTCTTGAATGCTTTCTTTATTGTGGTCACAGGAAACCACCAGCCACAAGATGACACCATTGAGATGAACAAGAATTACAAGCGAACACCTCTTACCTCTCTGGCGATGCTGCTCAGAGCCTCATCCTCCGCTGAGAAACGGTCTTTAACCGGGGCCCGTTTTCGTCCTGATCCTGGCGTCCCCATGTCAGCAGCAACTCCACAGCCTGATCCACTTGTTTCCCCTAATATTCTGCAGACAAACACCAAAATGATCAGCAGCTGTCATAATTTAGGACAGACTATGTAGGAAAAGACTGAATGATCCTTTCATGGCATATATTTGTGTAAAATATAGTCTAAAAAAAGCACTCTGTTGAGACAATTTAACAGCACACAGAAGTTTGCATTGACAGGCATTGATACTTTACTATACACGTTTATATGATCTTAGTGTGTTATTTTATAAAACTAACAAAAATATATGAAAATGTAGGCTAGATAAGCCTGTCCTCTCACACTATCTCACACAACCACAAATAGAGGCTTTAGTCATGCATGTCTGGACTCAGAGCTGATTAACACCAGACACACACCTCATAACATAATGTGACAAAGCAGAGAAATATCACAGGCATGGAGGACTGAGGGGTTTAGGCTGATTCCGTTTATAAATATTGCTTCATCTGTTCTTATTTGCTCAGTTAGTTCATTCAAATAATGACTTTGAATGAACACTTTCATTAATAAAGTCAATTCCTGAACGTTCAGTAGTTCTACCAAAGAACTGTGTGGTGTGTTTGTGTATTAAGATGTCACATTTGTCTTTATGATGTATGTAAACACATGCTGAACGTGTGGCGATGTCTAATTACAGTTCAATGTAATTAAAGCTATAAATATGAATCTATATTTGTATTGATATTTCTGCTGAGGTGCTAAATATAAACCAACACTCATTCAGCAGCGTGACAGGCTAACTTAAAGCGCTTTGTTTTAACAGAAAACACATAACTGTGAGGTATTAAAGACTTTTAATATTGACTACATAAAGCTTTAATGTATATACACATAACAAGTTATAAATATTGCAAATAGAAACTCATATCCATGACTCTAGTTAGCGGTTAGCTTGCTAGCTTGTCCTCAAAGACATAAAGTGTGCAAATGTCACTTTCAAGACTCCTATTAATTCACATATTACAATTTAATGACCTGCCTGGACAATTATGACAGTTAGTTCCGTAAGTGCCGGTTTCTTACCGTATCTGTCCGTCAGTATTCCGCTCGAGACTCGGGTCGGTTCTGACTGACTGGCTGGGACCCGAGCGCGTTCCCGCTGACGAGTGAGCGAGCGCGCGTCACATGCACGTGCGCGCGGCTGTATGAGTGAGCGCGCGCGTGCCTTCGTGACAGCCACAAACTGACACTATCCGTCACTACAAACTTTCCCCAAAAACGTCTAATGCTAAGTTATAAGAGACGCTACAGTTAGTTTATTTTTGTATTAAAAAATGTAGTATAAGTAGGTGAAAGTAGATACACACTCTGATTATGGGCGTCTCTAAGAGTTTGAAGTGTTTTTTCCAGCTTCGCGATGAAAGGCCCGGATGTTGAGGAAAGGAGGCGTGGCTTTTGAACACGCCTAGACCAGCTAACCATCTTTACACCTACTCTCACTTTTTTATTAACATTATTATTATTTTATTATTATTTACTATCAGGGGATACAAAAACATATTAGATCAGGCCCGTAGCCAACTTTTTTGCAGGTATTTGCCTCATTTTCTACTTAATTATAAGATTTAAATACTATATTTAGGTGACATTTAAAACACATTTTTAGCTGTGGTCATCAAAATCATATTTTTTGATGTACCAAAAACATTTCTTAAGGATTTAAAATAAAGAAATATAATAGAAAAAAACTTAATTCTATAATAATTTTAAAATACAAATGTATTACTTTGTAAGTCATTAGGGGAAAATCAATCTGTTAGAGCTTTAAATTAAATACTGCATATTAAGGCGAAGTAAGCACATTCAACTTTCTGGTCAGAATTTGGCCATTTGAATAATACTTTTAAAAAAAACTATCTACTTACTAATTTCCTTACTTTTTTCCTGATCTACTTCACTACTGCTTTTTCATATATTTATTATCTGTTTATTGTCCTGTCTCTGTAATTCTGTTGCACTGTAGAAGCTCTGTCACAAAAACAAATTCCTCGTATGTGCAAACATACCTGGCAATAAAGCTCTTTCCGATTATGATTCTGTCTGATTTTTCTAGCCTATCTTGTAAAAAGTGCATTTGAAAATTTATGAATAACAACACTAGCCTAATAAGTATTAACATACATTTTTAAGCTTTAAAATCAACTTTTGGTGCTACACAACTTTTTACTGGTCTTTATTTCTTTCTATCAAGAATAAGGTCCAAGATTTAGAATAAAAGTTACTTGCAAAATGTTTTTAGTATTTAACAGCAATACAGTAGGTCAGTAGTGAAAGATGACTTCACTTATGCCAGTTTGCCTCTCTGTCTTAAAGTCCTCTTCAATGATTAATTTCCACAATTTATAATGGCATAGCTGTCAAAAGAGGACAAATGAGCTCATGTATGGGACAAATTCTGGACCTTTGTTAGTTAGGAGTGGGTCCTTTAAGAAACAAACAAAAAACAAAGTAAATCATTAAAATGGTTGTTATTTATGGATCTGATTGAAAAGCAGAAAGTATTCCTTCAAACAATTGCATTATCATTATTTTTTCAGTAACACATGAGTTTTAGCAGCTTTCTAACATATCTAGAAATACTCTCTTAAACACTACAGAACAGAAAGCCTTTAAAACTGAACAGATGTGTATTTTGTCATTTCTTTAGTATATTGTTTATTTCAGATGCTTTTTGTGTTTACGTATTTATTTTGTTAATGTAGGCTGAGCGCACTTGTCATAAATTCCTCATCCTAAATTTAACCAGTAAATTTAACCCTAAACCTTTCAACTTTATAATTGTAATTCCAACTATTACCATCTTTCACCAAAACAATGAACCTTTTCTCTAAACAAATGCCACTGTAAGTTAAGATAAGACATTAATTGTGTATATAACCAAATACTGAAGTACACCTTTTCCTGCAAAATCATGGTAAAAAATGTAATTTCTTAATGTTTTTATACCACATCATAAGTATGTGTTACATTTCCAGTCCAATGATGACCCCTAGCTGTTGATTTCAAAATACAAATGTCATTCCGCTGTGGCGACCCCAGACTAAAAGCCGGAAAGAAAATGATTGAATAAATAGATATTTTCCACAATGATGCCTCTTGTGTCGTCTTGTTATCATTTGGGAGAAGCCTGTCTCATTTCTAGTAAAAAAAAAACTTATTGGTTGAATAAAAGTGACTTTAAGTCAGAATTTGCCAGGGGTATGATGAATAATTTGGGGTTTGACTGTACTGTATGGACTGTAAAGGTGTGTCCTCCAGTACTGCAGGTGGCGCAAATTAATAAGCTCGATTCAATAGAAGAAAAAGACCAAACGTCGCTTTGTCATGACGCAGAGCCGATGTGTGCGTGACATTGGTGTGGGCTGTGAATGAACTGTTCAGGTATTTATCGTTATTTATACAGTATTATTTTATAAATGCACTTACCAATGGTTATATAGATGCTTGAGTTCATCTGCATGCTTTCAGTGGTAACCAGAAGGAGTGTAAACCTGATGCTTATTGCTATAAATATTGAACTCATTAGTCACAGGATGCTCTTGTCACTATTTTTGACTTTTCTCTTGTTTTTAGTGTGTGGTCAGGATGGCATTGTCGTTATCCGGGCTGATTTTGCCCAAACTGATGCAGCAGAGGGCTTTCAGGTGAAGTATTTCTACAGTTTTGAAAGAGTCCACAATCATATGGTGGAACTATCGCTAAATATTGTAGTGTAATATAATAACTTGCCTTTTTTGAGTTATATTATCATTCATAATCATACATTTTATGTTCATATTTATATATACACACTACTGGTCAAATGTTTTGGGATCAGCATGATTTTTAAATGTTTTTAAATAAGCTTCTCCTGCTCACTAAAGCTGCATTTATTTAATCATAAATGCAGAACACATTGTACAATTGTGAAATTTTATCGCACTATAAAATAACTGTTTGAAAGTAGTTTATAATTTAATAATTCATTCCAGTGATTTTAAAGATGAATTTTCAGCTTCATTACTCCAGTCATCAGTCTCATGATCATTTAGAAATCACTCTCATAATAATAATTATTATTATTGTTATTAATATGTTATTAATGGTAATAGTACTAAAAGCAATAATAACTGGAGTAGGTTTTTTCATTTAATGTCGCCTTGATAAACAAAATAACAAAAAAAATGGGAAAAAACAAACCCCGAACTTTTGTTGACCGGTAGTGTATATACATACATGCATGCATAAATGTGTGTGTGTGTGTGTAATTAAGATTATTTACTAGCAGTGAAACTATGATTCTTTAAAAAACTCATCATTTAAAACGCTTTATATTTAAAATGCTTGATATAAATGATACCTTTGGGTTTATAATTATTACAAATATATAAATAAAATGAATAAATGTAATGAAAACTAAATAAACTAAATAAAAAATAAATTTTAAATATATTACAATGCTAGACCTATTATATAGTGCATGATAATAATAATAAACAACAAATACAATTATTCAGTAAAAACATGTCAATAATTTAAAAAAATACTATCTGCAAAATTTAAACTAAATTTTTTCTTTTTTTTAAAATCATTTTTAATTTGTTTTTACCCCCTAACATTATACATTTGGGTGTAATCTTTTTTGGACTGTTATTGTAAGCTATTTTTTTTGCATATTTGGCATATTTTCAGTGACTAAACTAATGTATATGAAAAAATATATTATTGTAAAGCATTCTGTAGAAATAATTTAATTTAAAAGATAGATTTGTGAGGGGTGTACTCATATGCTGAGCACTGTATGTTTCTAAATATTTATTTATTTGTATATAGATATAAACTATGTGTGTGATACAAATTGTATTTACATTTATTATATATTACAAATTTAATTATATATAAAAAAAATTATTTATATATTACAAATGTAATCAATACAAAATTATTTCTCTAACAAAATTGTTTCTATTTCTGTGCAATAAATCTTTGCCTGGCACTACAATCAGGGTGCAAATTACAGGGGGGTTTGACCTCCATAATTAATACTTTATCCCCTGAAAGACATCAAAACAAGATGTATGGGGGTTCAGCCCTTTTATAGTAAGAAAAAGCTTTCTCTGATCTATATCTTAAATAATAATAAAAATGTAGAATATAAACATAAATTTGATTGCCCTATAACCGTTTAAGCCATTGCGAATGCATATTAGGAAAAATTGAATTTAACCGTCTGAAATTTGCAGTTCTAGAGCACCGATAGACAACTTAAGTATTCACAAAACACATTTTCTGTAAAATACGTGTTTATGCAGCCTAAAAAAAGGAAAAATAGACATAATTTGTATAGTTTGACCTACAGTAACTAAAATAGTTACTAAATATCCTTCAAAACACTAAAAACATAAACATTTTATTAACAAAATTAGATGTAATTTAAATACATTCACTAAAGCATGTATTACCAAACTACGACTGAAAAAAGATCCGTTTGTCAATGTATAATTCGCACACTGACCACAATAAACCATTTTAAGTTCTCAGACATGGTTTTGTGCACTCTCCAATGTTGATGCTCCATCTAAAACCATTCAGCTATAAATGTGATGCATTTTTATTATTTAGCTTAGGAACTGTAATGATCTGCTGTGTTCTCAACAAATACACTCATATATGATCGATCCCACCGCAGCGTTTCATCCGCTGTATCCGCTATCCAGAAGTTAACTCGCGTGCGGGTGGTGGACAACAGCACTCTTGGAAATGCCCATCACCACCGGCCACCAAAAGTCATTCACGTGTACAACAAGAATGGAGTCGGGAAAGTGGGAGACCGAGTCTTACTGGCCATTAAAGGACAGAAGAAGAAAGCCATCATAGTGGGCCATAAGATGCCCGGGGCTCGAATGACCCCTCGCTTCGATTCAAATAACGTGGTGTTGATCGAAGACAATGGAAACCCTACAGGAACCAGAATTAAAGCTCCGTTACCAACACACCTGCGCAAACTGGAAGGGGAATATTCCAAACTGCTGGCCATCGCTCAAAGATTTGTGTAGCGTTCCTGCATCCTGCGAGGACTGATCACTCACAATGTCAAAGAACTTTTTCTTTGTAAATATTAAAAGAAAACCGTGTTCATAGCATTCAGGACATTTGTAATAAAATATATATGGATGAATATTTGGAGTTGTTGTCATTATTGTTACATATACAGTTGAAGGCAGAATTATTAAACCTCCCGAATTCCTGTTCAGCGGAGAGATTTTTTCAATACATTTACAAAACATAATAGTTTTAATAACTCATTTCTAATAACTTTTATAACTTTTTAATAACTCTTTTCTCATTTTTTATGACTCATATCATATTTCATTTTATCTTTACTATGACCACAGTACATAATATTTGACTAGATATTTTTGCCTAATAACTTGCCTAATTACCCTAACCTGCCTAGTTAACCTAATTACCCTAGTTAAGCCTTTAAATGTCACTTTAGGCTGTATAGAAGTGTCTTAAAAATATCTAGTAAAATATTATTTACTGTCATCATGACAAAGATAAAAATAAATCAATCATTAGAAATGAGTTATTGAAAAAATTATGTTTAGAAATGTGTTGAAAAAATCTTCTCTCTGTTAAAAAGACATTGGGGAAAAAATAAACAAGCAGTATAATAATTCAAGGGGGCTAATAATTCTGACTTCAACTATATATGTTGTTACTTTTTTTTTGATGTCCTAATTATTTAATATACATTTACATAAATCTGTCATGAAAAGTTATGAAGGCTACTTTGAAACAGGAAAAACTGTTAAATTGAAAATATTACTACAAATTTAAACAAATGTTTACATATTGAATTTAGCTTTAAATTTAATGTATTCCTGTCATCAAGGCTCACTTTTCATCATCAAGTAAGTAAGTAAAGTGTATTTATGTAGCCCATTTATTGTGCATGGCCATACACCCAAAGTGCTTCACAATCATGAGAAGGGTCTCTCCACACCACCAGCAGTGTGCAGCATCCACTTGGATGATACGACAGCAGGACTACAGCGCCAGTGCGCTCACCACACACCAGCTATAGGAGGAGTGGAATGACATTGATAGAGCCAATTCGATTGGGAGGCCATGGTGGGTAAGGGCCGACATAGGGAATTTGGCCAGGACACTGGGGTTACACCCCTAATCTTTGTCGGAGAAGTGCCATGGGATTTTTAATGACCACAGAGAGTCAGGACCTCGGTTTAACGTCTCACCCGAAAGACGGCGCACACTAACAATCGGGCACGTGCACACATAGGGCTCAACCTGTGCAGTGCACATGCTCTTTTTAGTCTTGGATAGAAAGTGCCTTTGCAAAATGATGAAGTGCCCCAGCGGCACAACTGACTGACACTTTGACAGTCTCTGCACGGGGCTGCTAACAGTCTCCCCTTTACTGGTATTAGGACTCGCACAGACCCAGGTCGAGCGCCCCCTGCTGGCCTCACTAACACCACTTCCAACAGCAACCAAGTTTTCCCATATGCTCTCCCATCCAGGTACAGCCCTGCTTAGCTTCTGTGAGTTACCGGTCTTGGGCTGCAGGGTGATATGGCTGTGGCATTACTCCAGTCTTCATGATACTCATTCAATATAGAACTATGATGATTTGTTCAGTTATGATCAGGTAATATTGGTACAAAATCATTAGTAATAATTCTTACAATTATAAGTGCAGAAAATATCTTGCTTCATCGTATCTCTGAAACAGTGATACATTTTAATTTTAGGATTCTTCATTTAAAAAAAGATGGTTCAAAATAATAGCTTTTATTTGCAATCTTTTTACTTTATAAATACATTCATAAATTGAAAAGTAAAGGTTGCAAATATTGCATATGTAATGAAACATTACTTTTGTTGATATCTTTATGCAGTTAAATCAACCCTACACCTCACAGTGACGTACCTAGCTCACATTGAGTGCATTGTGTCATTGAGATATGCAGCCTCAGCTTGCATCATCAAGGCTGCATCCAGATACTACCGAGTTGGTCGATTACATGAGGAGTGAGGTGTTTAAATTTACGTTTATACTAATGGCCTGTTGAATGCTTGATTCTGATTGGCTGATGAACATTTGAAGGAACGCAGGAAAACGCATAGCTAAAGTTGTTCCAGGCATACAGCCTATGACAAGAAAACAAAAGGCCTTGGATGAGAAAGGTAAGAAATTAGTCCTAGACACAGGAGCAGTTTGAGGACAAAAACATGACAAATGTCTAGAAATACAACATATAACAGTGTCTTTTACGTGTGCTAGTCGTATAAGCAGACTAATTGACTCTGCTCTATTGAATTATTAGAGAAAAAAGCACACCCATGGTTCGTCAGCATCAACTAAAGCATGATATATTTGCTACCGTCTAAACTGAGACGTCTATACAATAATCTGTCATGCCTCATCACAGAAACATTGAAATTTTGTTTCTTTTAATTACCAAAACATTAAAAAAAAAAAGGTCTTGCGTTTATTAGATGAGGTGCAATAAGTGTAGTGGAGCTTTATTCATGCATCAACTGAACAGCACAGAATGAAAGATTGTTCTTGGCATCAGAATCAATACTGATTGGCTCAAATTAAAGTATATAAAAGTAGACGCTTCCATTTAAAATCTACATGTAATGTGGATTAAAACAACACAGTACTTGTTCTGTACACATATGTGGCTAAATTGTGTAGTATACCATTAATCCAATCAAATGCTAGTTTAATTCTACACCAATATGTTTAGGAAGACATATTCTCAGAGCATAATATGAAATAAAAACGTTTCTTACGCATGTTAAAATAAGTTTATTCTGAAGCTCTGGTCATTAATAATATCTACGCATTCCCGCATTGTGCATCTAAAGCTTTAACTGGGATGCATTATTCACCTTTAGATGAACATGCAGTTTCTTTCATATGGCACTATCAGAATTCAACCTTTTGGAACTGAATATTGGTCTTAAAGGACAAATGCAAAACATGAAGCTCACTTGATATTAATCCCATGCACATGATGTTCCTCAGCCGTTCCTTCAGTCATAACTGAAGCGCTGAGTGAAGATCCTTTTGTCTCTTAGTGTGTTTTCTTGTAGTGTAGCTACAATGTGTTCTATGATTTTTTGTCTAAATAAAGTAGCACTTTGTTGTAGTGAGGTTACAGCAGGATTGTTGCATGAGGAGGCACTTCGCAGCAGGTTCTTGTGTTGGACATTCGTGAAACGCTGTACCTCAACCACACATGGTCATGAAGAGCCACTACGCAAACAGAAAGAGGGAGAGATGAGTATTTTTGAACATGTCATTTGTTTAGTTATTTAAAATATAAAGAAATCAAGCCAGAGCACCTCAGATAGGTTCATCTCAGCCGTTCCTGTTTCTTCTCTGTCCAGCTGTTGAAAAGATCCTACAGAAAAGAACAATACTATGAAGACTATACTTGAGATTTGAGTGTATATATGAGTATATATTGAGTCTGTCTATCTATCTATCTATCTATCTATCTATCTATCTATCTATCTATCTATCTATCTATCTATCTATCTATCTATCTATCTATCTATCTATCTATCTATCTATCTGTCTGTCTGTCTGTCTGTCTGTCTGTCTGTCTGTCTGTCTGTCTGTCTGTCTGTCTGTCTGTCTATCTAGATAGATAGATAGACATTCATTCATTTTCTTGTCGGCTTAGTCCCTTTATTAATCCGGGGTCGCCACAGCGGAATGAACCGCCAACTTATCCAGCAAGCGGATACCCTTCCAGCCGCAACCCATCTCTGGGAAACATCCACACACACATTCACACACACACTCATACACTACGGACAATTTAGCTTACCCAATTCACCTGTGCCGCATGTCTTTGGATTGTGGGGGAAACCATAGCACCCGGAGGAAACCCACGCAAAGGCAGGGAGAACATGCAAACTCCACACAGAAACTGCAACTGAATCGAGGTTCGAACCAGCGACCTTCTTGCTGTGAGGCGACAGCACTACCTACTGTGCCACTGCCTCGCTATATATAAATATATATATATATATATATAGTAGTGTCTGGATGGTTTAATTACATTAATTGTGAAAGACACAAAAACTTACTTACATATTTAGATATTCCTATGCTTACAAAAACAGCTATTAGCAATCAGAAGAAACATAAAAAAACGACAGAGGTGCTTTCGACAGAGAGTACGAAGAGGGCAAAGATGAGGTACTGAAGTGGGTCAATTTTCTGCTAACAATAAAGGAAGGAAGGGCACAGATGACCCTTCTGACCAACTATTACAATCGAAGAATGGAAGGAGCCTGTGAGCGTTATCTCCATAAAAAAGATATTCTTTGCCAACTAGGAGCTATGACCTTGGAGGACAAGACTCCTGGAAGACTGCCTGGATGACTGCCCAAATGCTGATGTAATGGAACAAATGTTTTGATATGTTTGTATTCAAATACGTCACCCTAGAGAGTGAACACAAAGGGATTTCTTCTATGTATTAACAGATATACTCGAGTTTATCAAACATTAGATATTATCTAGTACATCAGACACTAATTGCAACTTTGCTGTGAATTTACTGAAAGGGTTTTCTATGTATTAACAGATATTCCCAAGTATATGAGAACAGATATTCTCAAGTATATCACACACTAATTGTTACTTTGCTGTGTATTTACTGGAGGGGATTTCTACGCTTGTATTCAAGGCTAGAATACTGTTTAAAGGCTGGTTTAGACAGACCAGCAGTGCACTTAAACTGACTTCTGTATACTGAATGTCTTAGGCCCTTTATTCTCAACAGAGGATAAAGAAAAGGATTTTGTTTTGTTATTGTGATTATTTTCTTCTTCTTTTTAACTGGATTTATTTTATTAATAAAAGTATATCTTAACTGGAGTGGACATTGGCTTCATTTGCAAAACCCATCAAGATACCCTGTGTGGTAAGGTATGAATCTGATTTATTCCTTGAACATTACAATTTAAGGTCCTAAACAAAACTCTAGCTAAGAAATATAGCCAAGAGAGGATTCTGGTTTCTTTATTTAAATAGGGTATTAAATAAAGGAATCCAGTACAATATAAATATATATATATATATATATATATATATATATATATATTTAAACACATATGTAAACACATAATAAAAACACATACTGAACATGGCCTCTAGTTTGATCAAGCAGCAGACGAAGTTATCAAAATCAATGGCCTCGTTCTCTGCATATCTGGCTACCAGGATCTGGTTGAGTCTGTTATTGAGTTTAAAGCCTGTAGAGAAAGCAAATAGGATGGTGTTTCAGAGAGGACCTCAAAGTAACAATAATTATTACATAATATAAATATCATGCAAAATTGTAGAGTTGGTTAAGATTTAGAAATTTTTTTTTTGAAAACATTACATGTAGATTCTCGAACACTGAAAAAGGATTTATTGTATTTACTAAATTTACTTACTAAGGTAAGTGGTTGCAAACAATTTATATAAGCTGAATTTAAACAAATTAAGATGAACATTACTAAATTTAATTTGTTTAAATTCAATCCAAACTAAATTGTTTGCAACCACTTACCTTAACAAATTTAGTAAATCCAGTGAATCATTTTTTTCAGTGAAGGATGTATTTATTTGATCAAAAATAGAGTAAAAACAGTAAACAAAGAGATAAAAAGAGAGATTTTTTTTACTACAATATAGTGCACTGATTGTCTGGTCATTAGTTTACTTACTATATCCTTGCTTATAATATTACGTAAAGTTTTAGTTTATTAATGGAGCATTCAGTGAAATGAATTTACCTGCTGATTCTACAGCGAGACGCATCTCATAAGAGCTCATAGTTCCTGACTTATCAATATCAAACTCTCTGAAGATCCCCTGAGTGGAAAAGAAAATAGTTTGGAGTGAACTGAAAACTTTACAGTAGTGATGGGGGAAACAAAGCTTTGAAACAAATAAACCAACTGCATTGCAAAATGATTTGATTCTTTCAAAAAGCCACATTAGAGACACCTGCTGGTCAAAACCGTGTAAATGTGACAAGAGTTCAAAAGCATACATTAAAACTGGCTTTTCCAAACACATTTCAAACCAAGTATAACCTATTAAATGCACTTTAGCTTATTATCTAAAATCCTCTAATATAATGAAATATTAAGTGTCTGTATGATATGAATCTTTTCAAATAAAAATATGAATTATTTTTCAAAGCTTATATTGTTAGGCAGGACAAGAGACTATTAACTTATATTATTCCTTTTCATATTAATGTATAATGCAAATGTTTTACAAACTTGTAAAACTTAAAACAGTGGTTCTCAAACTGTGGTATGTGTACCACTAGTGGTACGCGGACTTCCTTCCAGTGGTACACAGAGGAATGAAATGTCATGTACATGCTACCTATATTTCAAAATTTATCAAAAATGATGTATATAATATGCCATATATGACATATAGCCTATATTTCTGAGGTAATCTGTCACGTTTTTTTTTTAACTGTTTATTTTTAGCTGCTTTACTAGGCCTACTAAGCTAATGTATTTCAATGCTGCTCATTTTGATGGTACTTGTAGAGACAATTTTTTTCTGAGGTGGTACTTGATGAAAAAAGTTTAAGAACCACTGACTTAAAAGATCAAACCTAAATTCTGTTCAGTGGTTCGCCACTGGGGGGCGATCTGAGTAAATCTCAAAGTAGAACCACAGAATTTTCAATTCAATTTCATACACTTAATGTTTATTTGTAACACGCTTTTCTACGGTGGCCGAGAAAGCTTAATGCACTGCAGTTTAAGAAAGCACATGCAATTACAAAAAACACCAGCAAATAAAGAAAGGATCTGAGTAACAACACAAACAACTGAAGAAACGCGCAGGATGTGTTGTTTTGTCATGTAATCAGGATATTAAAATAAATGAAAAACAACTCACATTTCAAAGACCACCAATCACTTTACTGAGCAACAGTCACGGCATAATAACACATCAATATCTCAGCAGGGTCCGATATGTTTTTGGGTCCCCTTGTAACATTTCCGTTGTGTTATATGGAAATTTGCAAGTGTTGTGACTAATTTTCTCCGCGTTTCTTCAGTTGTTTGTGTTGTGACCAATTTGCAACACATGTGCTATCAAATTAATGAAGATCTTCTTTTTATTTGCTGGTGTTTTTTGTAATTGCATGTACTTTCTTAAATTGCAGCACGTTAAGCTCTACTTTCCACAATAAATATCATTCCAAATCAGCTTTACAAAATGTGCAGATTATTAAATCACAATTAAAATATTTGAGACAGTAATGATTTAATGAAGCCCAGTTTATTGAGATTTGTAAAGGTTTTGAAGCAGTGCTATACAGACTATGAATAAACATTTCAGAGTTGCTAAAATTAACACAGAAAGCAGACAAAAGATTTTAGGCAACATTTTAGCTCTGATTCAGCTGGCTAAAATGGGGGAAACTCTTTCACTTACCAGCAACTTCCTTATTTTGTTCCAGAGGATCTGAAACTCGACTAAGCCCAAACGTGCGCTCCCATCTTTCTGATGAATGGAGTCAAAAGAGAAAACCTGAGGAGTTTGAAAAACACTCAAATAATGATAATGACCATGGAAAATAATTTAGCAAGTCTTTGTACCTGAATAAACCTTTCTTCATACTGTTAACACGAGACCTTTTATTTTTAAATAACTTGCTAATTCATTTGGAGAATGTTATACCAAGTTTTTACGCTAATTACTAACTACTTTTTAAATTAAAAACTAATTTTAACAAAATTCTTAAACTTTAACTAATATTTGCTTCACATTTCTTCATTTATTCTTTCTACTGTACTTCCAACATATTTCCATTGTAATCAACATATGATGTCAACAGAGTGTAAAGGGATACTTAAAGAAAGCTGGTACCCATTGTCTTGCAAAAGCTTTGTGTTTTTCCTACTATGGAAGTCAATGGTTACAGGTTTTCAGCTTTCTTCAAAATATCTTCTTTTGTTTTAAGCAGAAGCGTATAAAGATTTGGAATCACTCAAAGGAGAGTAAATACTGACTAAATTACATTTTTGGGTGAACTATGCCTTTAAGATGTATATTTTACCCAGATAAATGTTTTTTAAGGTAAGTGGCTGCAAATAATTTATTCATTCATTCATTTTCTTTTTGGCTTAGTCCCTTTATTAATCTGGGCTCGCCACAGCGGAATGAACCACCAACTTATCCAGCATATGTTCTATGCAGCAGATGCTGTTCCAGCTGCTTTCCAATCTCTGGGAAGCATCCATACACACTCATTCACACACTTACACTCACTACAGACAATTTATCTTACTCAATTCACCTATAGTGCATGTCTTTGGACTGTGGGGAAAACGAAGCACCCGGAGGAAGCCCACGCGAACGCGGGGAGAACATGCAAACTCCACACAGAAACGCCAACAGACCCAGCCGAGACTCGAATCAGTGACCTTCTTGCTTTGAGGCGACAGCACTACCTACTGTGCCACCGCGTCACCAGCAAACAATTTTAAAGGGGTGAACTTAAACAAATTAAATTTAGGAGTGTTCAACTTAATTAGTTTCTTTAAATGAAGCCCACATTAATGTTAAAAATACAGTAAATCCAATGAATCCTTTATTTCAGTGTGCTTAATTAATGAAGGATACATCCAGGAGGTTGACCATCGTTCTGCAGGAGTCCATGCTGAAGCCGTCTGTCTTCACATCTTTGTCTGCGGGAGATGGAAGTTTATTCAAATCAGATAAACAGGTAATGAACTGACTGAGCGATTTGACAGAACTGACCACTAAAATAAGAGAAAGAGTGCGTGTTACTCACGTTTGGAGACTACTCTGTTGAGAATAGTCTTGAGTTCATGAACAGATATCTCCATATCCTAAAATAAATATATAAACTACATTCAAATACTATTTTTTGTACATGATTTCATTCATTTTCCTTCGGCTTAATCAATAAACAATAAAAAATAAAAATAAAGCATACAATAAACCACAGAACATTCGTTCATACATTTTCCTTAAGCTTGGTCCCTTATTTATCAGGCGTCGCCACAGTGGAATGAACCGCCAACTATTCCAGCATATGCGTTACTCAACGGATGCCCTTTCAGCTGCAACCCAGAACTGGAAATCACTCACTCATACACTAGGGCAATTTAGTTAATCTAATTCACCTATACCGCATGTCTTTGGACTGTGGAGCACTCGGAGGAAACCCACATGAACACGGGGAGAACATGCAAAACACCACACAGAAAAAAAGCCAACTGGCCCAGCCAATACTAGAAACATTAGCCGCGTTTCCACTATCGCGCCTAAAGCGAGCGAGCCAGGGCGAGCCAAGGCCAGTCGCGTTTCCACTGTCACTTCCGGGGCCTAATCAGGCCAAATCGGGGCTTTCTTGGGGCCAGCGGTCGGCCTTTTTCGGCCCGCCGAATACCTTGGGCCAAAGAGGGCCAGTCGGGGCTTCAGGGCGGAGTGAAAGGAGAGGCGGGCACAGTTTTCCGATCACACATGAGTACATGTGCCAAACAAATAAACAAATAAATAAATAAGGGCAAGAAACATCTGGAAAAGTTCATGTTTCAGTTCTCTCCGGAGCATTTGGGCTGAATGTTGGACTGCGTCTGTCTAACTGAGGATGTTATAAAATACATTTTATATCGAGTTATTAATGGAGAATTTTATATATGTGGTTTTATATTATGGATGTGTGCGCTCCCTGCGCTGGGTCCCTCCGTTAGTGGCAAGACCATTGGATTTCGATGCCAACAGTCGGTCGGCGTCGGCGAGTAAATGATGAATGAGAACACACAGGCATGTGCGTATAGACATACATTGTACTGCTGTACAGTAACGTGTCATTTGGTTGTCCTAATTTGAATAGTTTCATGATGATGTGATGTGCTTTATCTGCCTGATTCCCGCTGAAGTGGGCGGACAGAGTGACGTTCGATTTGGGAGATGTTCAGGGGGCGGGGTTTACGTGACGCGCTGCGAGCTACTAGCCCGACAGTGGAAACGCGACATGATTTCGGCCTCACTGCTCAACCTCCCGGGCGATTGGCCCGGCCTGGCCCGATAAAAGCCCTGGCTCGCACTGGCCCGCGGCTATTGACCTTCTTGCTGTGAGGCCACAGTGCTAACCACTGAGCCACATTGCCGCCCTATTTTTGTAAAGTAGAAAGATGTAAGTATGTATTCACCTCTCCAGCCAGCTGGGCAAACAGGGACTTAAAGGAGTCATCAATGTCATCTTCTGTAATTTCTTCCTGCAGAAGAAATGCAGCCACATTTATTAAAGCACAGCAATCATTTTGGTCTAAAAGATTATATGACAATACAGATCCAAAATGTCACCTCATCCTCCAGGTCAGCTGAAATCTCGTCATCCAATTCCCTATAAGGAGAAATGAGGAGATTTTGTGGCTAAATAAATGCCTTTCAAAACATTTCTCCATATTAAAGGTACACTGTAAAAAATGACCATAACTACAAATGTTTTAGGTTACTTTAATTTTAATCAGGTCTTAACTACATATTTTAATTTATGCAAAGTTTAACATAATATTTTTAGTCAGTTTGACTGATTAGAGTTGAAATGATTAGCAAAGTTCATTTGAGTCAACTAAAGACTTTTAGGCAACAAGATGTTTTTACAGGGTACAGTTCACCCAACTCCGCATCTATCAGTCCATGTATTTACTTGTGTAAATATGTGTACATTTATATGTATTCAGGTTTTAAATTAATTTCACTAACATCATTGTGATGTAATAATAGTACTATTAAAATGTTCATATGATTTATTTACAATAGTTTGTAAATTTATATTGAAAAACTTTGTCTACCCATTAAGTGGATCTAATTAAATTGCTTTGTAAACATTAAATACAAGTTAAAATGGTATTATTTTTAATTTCATATATTAAATTTTTAGTTATGATACTCCTGAAATCATTCCACATAAATCCGCAATTTTTTAATAAATTCTCTGCGAAATAGAAAAAAATGTCCACAGATTCTGTCTGTCCCTAGTTATGGCTGAGTCAAAAAGGACACAGGCATTTTAACAGCAAAAAAAAAAATTAACTATGTTTTTTTTTTTAATGTTAAAATTTGGTTACTTTTCCTAAAAAGACACCAACATTACAAAAAAATTGTTTTTTCATATTTTCATGAAGGCTGTACACATTTAGGGTACCGTACAACGGTTGTCCTTTCAGTCAATTTTAACCCACCAGCTAGAGTATAATGTTTTTTAATTAAAAATCACAAAAATTACTGGTCCGCACGCACGCAGGCACGTACGCACGCACGTACGTACGTACGCACGCACACACGCACACACACACACAACAAGAATCTCCTGTTTTAATATTTATAAATACTGTCTTGCTGAACACTTTTTACATTTATGCAGGTGCTTTTAACATTAGAAACTACACCCTTTACTATTTTCAAAAACTAATGGTGCCCTTTACATTTACATTTATATATTTAGTCATTTAGCAGATGCTTTTTTCTAAAGCGATTATTAGCCCCCTGAATTATTAGTCCTCCTGTTAATTTTTTCCCCAATTTCTGTTTAACAGAGAGCAGATTTTTTTTTTTTTTCAGATTTTTGACTAGATATTTTTTCAAGACACTTCTATACAGCTTAAAGTGACATTTAAAGGCGTAAATAGGTTAATTAGATTAACTAGGCAGGTTAGAGTAATTCGGCAAGTTATTGTATAACATTTTTTTGTTGTGTAGACTAACGAAAGAAAAATAGCTTAAAAGGGCTTTTAAAAAAATTAAAACTGCTTTTATTCTAGCTGAAATAAAACAAATAAGACTTTCTCCAGATGAAAAAATATTATAGGACATACTGTGAAAAACTCCTTGTTCTGTTAAAAAATGTTTGGAAATTATTAATAGGCATTATAATAGGCATTGAGCGATTCAACAAGAGGTAATACACATAAGTGCTAGTAATACAAAGGAACTTGTTTGAGGTCTGAGAATTTAGCACTAGAGTTTATTTTTTTGAAAGCAAGAGAGAGAGAGAAAGCGTTTCTGCAGGTGGTTTGACAGGCACACTTACCTGTGTGAAGCACACATCAAAAATACACAGTGTTTGTGTCAGTTAATGTGTCAGTGAGATGAATGAGTGTGTTCTCTACAGGTGGTTTGTTAAGCCCACTCACCTGTCTGATGCACAGGCAGAATTTAAAGGATTTTATGGTTAGTATGTGGTGATTAATACTAATTAAACATCAATGAAATACTAAACACAGATCAGGGAAAAGCTAAACATTCACAGGGTTGTGATGAAGATGAAGTTGTTTCTTCATGCAAAATAGAGATGAGGATTGAAATTAAATTGATCTGCTTTATTTAGAGTTTTAGTGAAAGTGGTCGTTTTTGATTCGCCAGGCAAACGGTGTATTCAGAACTCTAGGACACCAGGAGGGTTAAATATGAGTGACTGAACAATGACTGAATTTACATTTTTTGAGCAAAACAGTGCTGAAATATTAAAGTGCTCAAACACACACACATACTCGGTCTCGGACTGTTTCTCGGTGAAGACTCTCAGGACAAAATCGGCCTCTTTGCTGGGCTCGAAGGTGGAGGGGACGATGATGTATTCTCCAGGAGGCAGACGCAGGCGAGTGCTCACCTCCCGCAGGTTGATGAAGGTCTCGGATCGAGCAGCTGATGAGTTGCTCAAGAAGAAATCCTTCTTAAGGTGCACGTTCTGACAGCCTGTGTACTGCAGACAGATCAAAATCACCATCAAATGCTTCTGCTATACTGATCATTTTGGCTGTGTTACGAACAGCATGAATGTCAGCAAAAAGGCATATTTTTGTTGAACTTGTAATATTTTATCCTCGTTTCTTTCAAAAATTGAAGAATTTAAGTCTATTTATTTTATTAAATTAATTTATTAAATTAGCTTTTGGGGATCATCTTTTGGCTGTGTAAAAAATAGCATGAATTTCAGCAACAAAAAAAAAAAAATCCTTGTTTCCTTTCAAAAATGACGTATTTAAGTCTATTTATTTTATTTAATTAACTTATTAAATTAGCTTTTGGATCATCTTTTGGCTGTGTTAAAAATTGCATGAATTTCTGCAAAAAAATTTTTTTTTATCTTCGTTTCCTTTTAAAAATGACGTATTTAAGTCTATTTATTTGATTGAATTAATTAATAAATTAGCTATTGGGATCATCTTTTGGCTGTGTTAAAAATAGCATGAATTTCAGCAAAAAAAAAAAATGTATCCTCGTTTCCTTTCAAAAATGACGTATTTAAGTCTATTTATTTTATTAAATCAATTTATTAAATTAGCTTTTGGGATCATCTTTAGGTTGTGTTGAAAACAGCATGAATTTCTGCAAAAAAAAAATTTTATCCTCGTTTCCTTTTAAAAATGACGTATTTAAGTCTATTTATTTTATTGAATTAATTAATAAATTAGCTATTGGGATCATCTTTTGGCTGTGTTAAAAATAGCATGAATTTCAGCAACAAAACAAACCATATTTTTTGTTGAAATTGTAACATTTTATGTGCATTTTCTTTTAAGAGCCATTTAAACGGCATTATTTCAGTCTAGTGCCATTTAAGCATATGTTCTTAGTTAACAGGTTTCTGTTTTGTTGGCAAAACAATTATATAAGCAAACCTATTTGACAAAAAAAAAAAAAAAAAGAAGAAGATTCATACCTCTTCAGGAACCTACAGAGAAAAGAACGGAAGAAAGAAACCAATTAGACAATTTTCCTTTATAAAAATTGTATGATCTACTTTATCAAATGAATAATTACATTATAAAATGTAGGAGATAATATAATATAATGTAATAGTTATTTATAATGTAATTATTTCTATTTCTTTACTGTTGTCTTGGTGGTTTATCATTATTTTTAAGTGTGCATCTGAATATGATTATTGTATCATATGCGTACTAATCTAGCTGAACCCATTGGCTCCTGACCTCATAAATTGCAAAACCGATAGTGTGCATATCTTGTCCGTGGCGGCGGTACCGTCTGCGGTCTTTCTGCATTAAAGCCACCAGGAAGCTGCAGGCCACTTCTTCATCCTCCGGATCATCATCTTCCTCCAGCAGTGTGATCTTATACTGTGGATTGATCCAGAACGTGTCTGAAAAACAGCACAGGAACACAGAGCAGCCATTTGTTTTAAATCTTAGGTGAAACTGGTGGCGGTAAAGATATGTCATTTTAAATAAATGCTGTTTTTCTGAACATCCTAAAATTCAAAGAATCCTACAATTAATGCATCACGGTATTAATAAAATAATATGGTTTTCAACATTGATAATAATAAGTTAATATTTCCTAATTAGCAAAAACATGTATAATGTAATATTGAATGCTTGAATTATTGTAAATATATTTTGTTGAACACATAAGAACATATAAAGCTATTAAATTTAGATGTGAAATATACATCATAATAAAAAAAAATGTTTAATGACTTTATTAACTATAAAAACACAAGAGATTACTTGAAAATGATGATTTTTTTTTGGATTTACATTATTTAATTGTAATGTGTTTAAATAAAACATAATCTTTGTTTTCTTCTGTAAACACCAGATGACATTTTTTTTTCCAAAATTAAAGTAAAAGATGTTATTTAGAGGAGTTTTATTTTGCATAAAACAACAAAAAATATCCTTGTTTTCAGACATTAACATTTATTTTACAGTCAACACAACACAGAGTTAAGAAAATCGATATTTGGTGGAATGACCCAGTTTTTTTTATTTGGTTTTGTCATTTAATTAAATTAAATTGGAAATAATGTTATCAGACCGTTATAGAATAAAACTAATATTAAACTAATATTAATACTGTGCTAAAATCCATACCTAATAATAATAATCCAGAGAAACAAATGATTTTTAAAGCTTTTTAGACCAAATAAATGCAAGATTAACACTGTTTTAACTACAAGCAATGCAACAAGATTCCAGCGACAAGCAATTTGTCTGTCTGCACCAATCGCAATGTGACATGACAGAAACATTTAAAGACCAGCCACTGCACTTCCAATGAAATGGTAAAAGGCTTTTAATTGTAATTAACACATATTAAACTTATGTGTGGCGTATGTTTGCACTGAATCAGTTCATTTTTATTCTGAGGTGAACTATCTGCTGCTGCTTTCAGTAGTACGGCAATAAATGTCATTTAAACTTCTATATTGGTAGCATTTAACACTATATAAATGGCAGTGGCGGTTTATTTGTATAGCAATTAAACACATCCTCTCACAAATACCACCGACAACAAGAGTAAGTCAGACAAAGTCAAGTTTTGTTTTGTTTTTAAATACAGAGAATAAAATGAAACAAAGAAAAGAAATATGAAATAAAACCAAGTTATTAAAACCCAGTGTTAAACGCTGTCAAACTCATGTCGAGTTTAGACTGCACGATTTTATAGTCACATCACGGATGTTTACACACTGCATGTCTAGCTGGGGTAGCGCTCTGTTGCTGCTGTGTTTACACTGGGAAATGGATCAGCTACAGTGTTTTCACACTGCATGACTTCACAATAGGAAGAATCACTAACAACTCTGTTTCGGTCCGCTAGCTACGTCTCATACAAACACACATGAAAAGTTACATGGAAACAATGCGAGGCCATGCAGTATATCTTTAGTTATTAACTACATAACGAGAAAGAAGCTTTTACAAGGGTAGAAAATGTACCTGGCTCTTAAAGGGAATTAGAAATTTCTCCTCAACTCTCTTTGGACCCGGTTGTGATATTGCTCAGATGACAAGTCAGACACGGGGGCTCCTGACAAAATTCAACTAGCTTTTCCTCCATTTCTTGTGTCCAAATAAACTGAAATTACCCCTTTTAACTTCCCCCAACCTCCCGCCTGCCTGCAGATGCTCATTGTTACACCTGGCTCAGGGATGTAACATAGTGAAAGAGACGACACCGCGAAATATAATCAAAAAGAATATTTATTTTAACATAGTTGAAAATAATATAACCAAAACATAAGTATGAGTATGTTCGATCAGTGTGAAAAGCAAGTGAATGGATGCGGTAAGTGTTGTCAGTGATAGTGTATGAATGCGAAACAAAAAATAATGCTCAGATTGGACCGCAGCTCTGGACAACTGCCAAGTGAATGAACAGCGACCCTGACCAACTCTCTGACGGGGTATAAATAAGAGCGCTGACCAGCATCAGGTGCGCTGAAGCCAGACCCCCAACCTAGAGCAAATCGAACACACAAAAACACAAAACAACCCAGTCCTAACACCCATGCTAGTGGATGCTGCTCTCTCACTGGCTGTAGGTAATCGCTGATGTTATTTCCAATTGGAACACATTTTACACGGCATGACTTTGAGTTGCCTACAGGTCCAGATGTTTAGCATGCCAAATATCTGACTGGTGTCAGCGACTCCTCTGCGATTCTCTCCAATTGCGTTCACACTGTGTGATTGTTACTCGCGAAAACGAGCCAGTGATTTCAGGCATTTGTCTGAGATTTTTCAAAACCTGTTGGCGAGTCAAAATCATGCAGTCTGAACTCGACACTAAATTTTAAAACAAGCAGCGATGGTGCCAATCTAATGCACATAATAACTAAATGCACGTAATAACATAACTAAAGCACATAATCGGTACCTGAGGCGATCATTGTCATAGTAGTTGATGGTGTTATTTTGCTGTGACGTTGCAGAAATAGAAACCGTTTCTAAATCTCACACGCCACTGCTGGAAATGGTTAGGACAAAAACTAGTGTTAACATTAAAAAGAAACCTTTTATCACATTCCGACTGCAATTAACATATAATGTATTAAAATTATATAAATACAGTATCTATAAAGTATAAAAAGGTAAAAAACGTTTTTTAAAAACCATGTTAGCCGAATGTGATGCTACCAGTGCTAGCAGCAGAGACCAAGACCAACAATAAAGCCCCTCTGTGACCTTGAGCAATAAATCTGCTGTATGTGAAGGGTGCTGTCACTCACTGGGATGATTTCGGCATCCTCCTGCAGTGCTTCCTCTCCTCCAGGCTCCATGAAACTTGATGGTGTTCCAGTGGCTCATATCATCGTCACTCAGAGCATCAGGGGTCAGATTGCAAATCTCCAGCCGGGAGAACTGACGTAAAAACTCACCAAATGACATCCTGTGGACAAAACCACACATGAAAAGATGCAGAAATGTGCAGAAATCAGAATCGGCCAGATGTGGCTCTAAATTGGTTTGATTAGCATCTGCACTAAAAAAAAAAGACTTTTACTGCCTGTTCAAACTACTTATTTAAACTGAGTTGAAACAACACAATTCTTGTTGTTTTTTTCCCCCCAGACAACTTAATTGTTTTTATGTTCAATTCACTTAAATTTGTAAAAACTATTAAGTTAAATGAATCTATTCGTGTTGGGACAACATGAAGGAATTGTGTGGAACCCAGCTTTTTTACAGTCTGGATGTTTTTTTGTTGTTTTTAAGAGTTCACACTTGATGATTGATTATAAAGCTTGTTTGCCATGCTGTCCCGGGAGAGAGCCCTGAGCTCATAAGATCCTCGAGCCCAGGGCTCCCTCCCGTTTGCAAGGCGAGAAGGGAGTTTGAGCTCAGGTAGATCTCGAGAACTTCCCCTGCTGTAGTAGCTAATGAACAGATAGTGATTGCTCTTAAAGTTTGGTTTATACTTCTGCGTCAATTAATCGTTGTGACCCACGGCTCATTGCGCGTAGCTGTGCATTTAGACTTCAGCGCGGTGTTTCTGTTGTTCTGCAATAACACTTCCGAAACGCTAGTTGGCAGTGAGGTGTTCATGTTCCTCTGTGTCGAGTTTCTTTGATGGTGTTTTGTTTTTTCTGAATGCTTCCTTAATGCACAAGTGGCTCAAACTCGCTGATTTTGAAGCGGGAACCGGCAGACGTGCAACAACTTTAATCATAAGGTAAACACACAACAAAACTTTTCATCCGAAGCTCCTTCACGGGACTCCACACTTGTTAACAATCGCTCCATTGGGTTTGCGCGGCTCTTGGTCCTGCTCAGTCTTATCAGCGCTATCAAGCCAACCAATCACAGACCTTGCACTACGCGTCGTTGCGAGGTGTAGTTACATTTTTTGAGAGGTGCATGTCAGCAAAGCCGACGGCCACGGCATAGGGCTATGTGTCAACGCGTAGGCTGTGCGGTAGCATACGTGTGCGCTTGACACAGAAGTCTAAATCAGCCTTAAGAGATTACTACTTAATATGAGCATATCTATGGTGCTAATTTGGATTAGTCAATTAACTTAAAGGTTCAGGACACCCTGGAGAACTTTTTTTTTTATATTAACAGATGTGTGTGTGTGTGTTGAGCATCAGTTAAGACAATGTTAGCACCTGTCAGCTTTAATTGTGAGGAATCTGGATAATTTTGAGCTTTAGTCAGCTAATTTCATCTTCCGGGTTTAAAATGATTTTTGGGGCAGGATCAAAATCGGCGACGTAGCGCAGTACTGCAAGTGCAATGATGACACGTCGGTTTCTCATTATTATTCATAGCAGAGTTTTCTTATCCTATGAGAAGAGCCGGCTGCTTAATTATTCATGAGAGCACGTGCTTTCCGAAGGCAGACCTGCCAGTTTCAAGCAAGCTGTGAAACACAGACCGCAGTAGCCGTTCATGAAGGCTCGTATGTGTTTGTTTCCATGATCCACGGGGTTTGTTGCATGTTTTTTTCCCCGCGATCTTGTCAGGGCCGATCATTCAGCAAAGCTGTGTTTGTGCTGCAAGCATTTTTGTCGGAAGAGCAGTGCGAGAATTGAAGAATGGTGGACGTTGACTTTCATCAGGAGTTCGTTCACATTCAGACACATCGCCGTGCTGCTGTGTTTGCCTAAATCCTCTATATTACCAGCAGGGCTAATGGTTAAAATAGACAGGTCAGGAGACCTGCTGCACTGAGTCTGCATTCAAGATCTATAATTTAGACACGGGGATCGATGGAGAATCCTCATTTATAGGGTTTACATGAACACACTTATCTTTATAATGATATAAACTGTGGTTATGTGTATATGAAATTACGAATAACAGATGTAGCAGGGCATTAAATTACTGTTTATTTCTTTGCATTTTAACTTTGTGAAATATAAACTCATGCGTCTCCTCACGGTTTGTGTCTCATTTTGTGAGCTAACTGTCAACAACAGTTATTCGCTCCCCTTCTCCCCTGCTGGCCACGCCCACTCCTACCTATGCTCGCGGAGCTCCACGCCCATTAATCATGCATCTTTTGAAAAAATTCTGAAGTAGACTTTAACCGAAAGTGGGGGGTGTCATGGCCCTTTAAGTTGCATGTTTTTGGATGGTGGAAGGAAAACGGGAAACTCAGGGGAAACCCACCTGAGCAAAGGGGAGAATGTATAAACTCCGCACAGAAACGTCACTGGTTCTAGTCTTTACCAAGCCAGCTAACGTTTCTGTGCGGAGTTTACACATTCTCCCCCTTGCTCACTGCTGTGAAGCAAAAGTGCTAACCACTGGGCCAATGTGGGTATTTATAGTGGCTCAGGAATCGTCTGATTGGAGAATCATAAATTGAATAATAAGGGGCCGGCTGCAAGCAATCATAAGCATGTGATCCTCTTAAAATTAGTTAATAAATAAACTCCACTTAATTTGCCCAATCTCTGAGCAGAATATATTCATATTCATTACATTAGTGAAAATTTAACGCTAGAATAAACATCTATTCTTAATGCAATGTAAGATCAATCTATATTGCTGATTAAGCTCACCAAAACTCTCCATCCTCCATTTGTAAGTGCAAGTCGTCCTTCTCTGATGGATCAATCTCATCCCATTCAGGAGAGCTGGAGAGCGAACAAACACCTTCTTACTCAATGACATGAGCTGAAATGAATAGTTCTTTTTATGTTATTACTTACTTATCACTCCAGGCTCCGGTCCATTCTACCTGACCCCAAGGATTACGGATGCGGATAAGCCTCTCCATCCGCCCCCTGTACTCCACCTGTCAAACCGGATAAAGATATTGCACATTAATCGGACAGTTCACTCTAAAATAAAAATTCTGTCATCATAAACTCACTCCTGTGCAGTTTTACATCCTGTTGAACCCAAAAGAAGATATTTTAAAGAACGTTGAAAACCGGTAACCGGTATTAATAGACATTATTTACACTCACTGGCCACTTTACTAGGTACACCTTACTAGTACCGGGTTGGACCCACGTTTGCCTTTAGAACTGCCTTAATCCTTTGTGGCATAGATTCAACAAGGTACTGGATTCTCTGGTATTCCTCAGAGATTTCGGTCCATATTGACATGATAGCATCACGCAGTTGCTGCAGGTTTGTTGGCTGCACATCCATGATGCAAATCTCCCTTTCCATCACATCCCAAAGGTGCTCTATTGGACTGAGAACTGGTGACTGTGGAGGCCATTTGAGTACAGTGAACTCATTGTCATGTTCGAGAAACCAGTCTGAGATGATTTGCGCTTTATGACATGGCGCGTTATCTTGCTGAAAGTAGCCATCAAAACACTGTGGTCATAAAGGGATGGACATGGTCAGCAAAAATACTCAGATAGGCCGTGGCATTGACACGATGCTCAAAGCAGTCTAGCCATTGTCTTCTGACCTCTGGCATTAACAAGGCATTTGCGCCCATAGAACTGATGCTCATATTTTCTCTTTTTTAGATATTTTCTCTTTTTCAGACTATTCTCTGTAAACCCTAGAGATGGTTGTGCGTGAAAATCCCAGTAGATCAGCAGTTTCTGAAATACTATTCATATTCTGATTCTCGGTTTGAACTGCTGCCATGTGATTGGCTGATTAGAAATTTGTGTTAACAAGCAGTTGGATAGGTGTACCTAATAAAATGGCCAGTGAGTGTATATTTCCTACAATGCAAGTCAATGGTTACTAGTTTACAACATTCTTCAAAAAATCATCTTTTGCAGTGAAAAATACAAAAAAAATCAATAGTCAAGGGTGAGTAAATTACAGAAATTCATTTTTTGGGTCAACTATCCCACTAAGGGACAAAAAATAAATTCAAAATTCAGTCAAAACATGCAAGAAAAAGGTTTTAAAGTGGATAAAACAGATTAATTAAAACACAAGGTGTAAACGTTAAACGAATGCATATTTTTTATTATGTGTTGTATTTTTATTGTCTCATTCAAACTTTTTTTGAAATGCTGTGGGTTGTAAGAAAAGTGCCTTATAATTAGTATCGTTACTATCATTTACCAAGCCTGTGGTCAACATAAACTCAGCATTACCTGTTTGAGAGCAGTCACGGAGTAAGCGTGACCCTTTACCAGCTTCTTAAATGTCACAGACTCCATGTCAAAGGCACTGGTGATCTGGAAAAGTATCATATATAATACATGAATCTGACGCTAGAATGAAGCAGAATGTACATAATTAAATACCCTATGGGCTCATAAATAAATCATTATAATCAGCATTTTATTAAAACAGTAACTTCACAGCATTTAAACCAAAATGTGTTATATTTTTACAATCAAATTTAAATACGGTAAAAGACAGTATTATTTATTTCTTTAATTATTTGATAAGGTAAAAATGTATAAAAAATATCTTGGCACCTCTAAATCATTCCCTGTCCATGTTTCATTAACTATATTTACATTCAAAGTTAGCAAATTACTGTAACTTGTGCATAATATGTGAATATTGCATAAAACATTTGCGAATAAAGCAATATTTAAAATAGTCACTTCCTAGGAAATGAGTGTGATATATTGATAATGAAATTAAAAGCAAGTAGAGAAAGAGTTCTGCAAGTAGAGAAACTACTGTAGTATGTTTTACCTTTATAAAAACATTATTGTTAAAACAGTTGTGTTATCTTCAATCAGTTACTAATGTTTGGGAGCACAACAGTTCTAGGAGGTAACAATTCAAAATTCTATTGATGATGGACTTAAATGTACAATTTACGTGCAATTATTTGATCTCAACATCAGGCTAAATCATTCTAGATATATAAACTAGACTTTTTGTTGTACACTACTGAAATTAATAATGAGTATCGATAAATGTGTTTCCATAGTAGTGTATGCATATACAGTATTTTCTTACTGGATAAAAAACCATGAAAACTCAACCGAGTGCATACATTTGTTTTATGCATATTTGTATGCTTTTTTGCACATTTAAGTTAAAGTTAAGTTCAAGGAAACAGAGTAAGAAAACAGCAGACTGGCCTTTAATAAATGCATTAAAATATTACAAAAATGTAGTTAATTGTTTATGCTTTGTTTTATTTATGTGTAAACATTAAGGTTAAAGTTATATTTATTTTTTATTTATGCATATTTAGGTTAAAGTTACTGTATATTTATTTTTTATTTATGCACATTTAGGTTAAAGTTATATTTATTTATGCACAGTTAAGTTTAAGTTACATTTATTTATTTTTATTTATGCATAGTCAAATTAAAGTTAGATTTATTTTATTTATTTATGCAGAGTTAAGACAGTTATATTTATTTTTATTTATGCACAGTTAATTTAAAGTTAAATTTATTTATTTTATTTATGCACATTTAAGTTAAAGTTAGATTTTTTATTTTTATGCACAGTTAAGGTAAAAATATATTTATTTATTTTATTTATGCACATTTAAGTCAAAGTTAGATAATTTTATTTTTATTTATCCACAATTAAGTTTGAATTTTATATATATATGTATGTATATATATATATGTATATATAATCTGCTGTTTTCTTAGATTTTTTAGATTAAATAAAGTATATATATATAACTTATATATATATACTTTATTTAATCTAAAAAATCTAAGAAAACAGCAGATTGGACATCTACTTAAATGAATGCATTAAAATGTTACAAAAATTTAGTTCATTTTATGTTTTTTTTTATTTATGCACATTTAAGGGTGCTTTCACACCTGTGAATCGATTCAGTTGTTCCGAAACAGAGATTACAATTGTTACATTGTTGCTCTTTGCTCTTGGAGCGGTTCGCTTTCACACTGCAAAGTTTCTAATCGGACCAAAAGAGCTTAAACAAGTCACGTGCGAGTAAACTCTCCTCACATTGGTCAGTGTCAGGGTTTATTTTGCAGCGTCCCGCTAAGCTGTCAGGAGAAGTGGTGGTTTGGTGGTGATTGACAGGGTGCGCGCGCGCGATGTGTCTGAGGAGAGATGCGGAGGGGAGGGGTGAGAAGGGTGCGCGACGATGCCTATTTGAGGACCTGTAGGGAGACGCGAGATTACTGGGAGATCATCACTCGTTTGCGGGCATCCGGAGACTCGCGAAACTTCCCACCCCAATCATAATTCTCTCTTCATATAGCCGTATATGCCTATTACATATCCATAAAACACAGTGATACAACCGCGCTCGGATCGGATCGCTTTCTCACTACAATCGAACCGCTCCAGGGTTCGTTTCAATCGAGCCGAGACCACCTCATTCAAGCGATCTCGGAGCGATTACTTTGGCGCGGAACAGAGCGCGATTGCCCTGTTCACATAGGCCAATCGAACCGCGCTAACTGGGCAAACGAGATACGTTCCGAAACAAAAGTGTAGGTGTGAAAGCACCCTAAGTTAAAGTTATATATTTTTTTTATTTCTGCGGGTTTAAATTAAAGTTAAAGGAAACAGTCTAAGAAAACAGAAGATTGGACATCTACTTAACTAAAAGTAAAAAATTAGTTCAAGTAGGTAACAGTTTTCATGAAGCATCTCTTAAACTAATGAGGTTCTCACATCAATAGAGCAGCCCAGCAGGGAGCCTCTGTCCAGGGCTTTGCTGATGATTCGGTACAAGTCTCTTGGAGCTTTCCGGAGCTCGTACATTTCTGAAACGCCTCCAGTAAAATCCTCAAAACCCTCAGTGGTAGAGCCTCCAGAAAGAGCTTCATAAGAGCCATTTAGCCTGCCACAAAACAAACAAACAAACCGACACACACACACACACACACACACACGCACGCACGCACGCACGCGCGCGCGCGCGCACGCACGCACGCACACACACACACACACACACACACACACACACACACACACACACACACACACACACACACACACACACACACACACACACACACACACACACACACAAACGGTAAACTCTTTAATAAGACTGGGACAAAACCGATTTTGTAAATGATTTAGCAAGCACAAATGTTGCTGGCCTTTACCAAAATGTCTATCAGGACGTACTTAGCATAGGCTTTTTCCACCAAGGCACTCCAGAACTCATTTCCCTCTGCTGAATGGACAAACATGAGCTCTCCGTCTTTGACCGGGAGCCGATCATCGATCACAACGTCCACCCATTCACCGAACTGCCAGAACTGCAGAAAAAGAGGAACGCAAACCTCATCAAACAAATCATCCAGATGACGGACCGTGTGAGGAAAGCTTTAGAGCACTCCTGATTAGAGATGCAGTCGCTGCAATTAACGGATCATTATGATGCTAAAAATTACAACTATTACCACTGAAATCCTTTCCAAATGAAATGACAGAATGGATTAAAACCTGTCTGTACTTTTCAACGTTCACAATTTCATCAATTCAGACAACATTGCTAACAACACTGTTAGAAATGCAACTCAAACCAGGACAAACAGCCTCTCTTCAACATTGTCTTTCACATGTCTTAAACATTAAACCAAAATAATTCAAATGCCACCAAACCTCACTCCGGTAACACTTTAGAATAACTATCCGTTATAACTAGTTAATAGTCCATTAATAAACTGTTAGGGCCTACTCACACTATGCCATCCGTACCGTGCCCAGGCCCGTTTCCCGGATCGTTTGAGAAGTGTGAGTGCGCTGAATCGCGCTCAAGCACGGTTCACTTGGCCGGCCCTGGCCTGGTTGGAAGAGGTGTGCCTGAGCGCGGTACACTTGGGCTTTGGCGCGGTACGCTTGTGTGTGAGCGCAAAACGCGCCAAAGCCCGAAACTGAAAGCGAGACGTGACTTTTAAGGGGTTGTTTCATATGGATTTATTAATCATTCTTACTGTTCAGTGAACGCAAACTGCCGTAGTTTATTAAAGACGCAAACTCCTCGCAGCACGCCAGCTGCGCACCTTCAGCAGACCTCCTCATTCCTGCAGCACGAAAGCTTAATGATTGTTTATGAGCGCCAAAAGTGGCGGATCTGTTCGGCGAAATATCTGACTGCGTGTCCCCGCATCCCTAAGGACTGTTTAGCGAAATATTTGACTGCATGTCACTGCATAACAAACGACTGAAACGATATAACTAGAGAAATCTCCACTGTGCTACTGAATGAGAGCGTATGGCAAGCCGTTTTAGCATTTAAACCTTGTTCTGACTATCCATAAATATATTTAGAGATATCTCTAATTATATTTTGACTAGTCATAATTATAATTCGACTAGTCAGAATGACAATTAGAGATATCTGCAATTACAATTGTACTAGTACGAAATCAGATTGGAGATATCTGCAAATATATTATGACTAGTCATATTCCTCCATTGACTTCCATTGAAAAAATATTTGCAGATATCTCTAACTGAGTTTTGACTCGTCAAAAATCCAATTTAAGATATCTACAACTGTAATTCGACTATTAGTGAATTAATTAGAGATCTTTAAATATATTTGTAAATATCTCTAAATATGATAAATTAAAGTCATCTCCAAATGTATTATGACTAGTAAAAACTCAGAGATATCTCTAATTACAATTGTGACTAGTCAAAACTCATTTAGAGATATCTGCAAATATTTTTCAATGGAAGTCAATGGAGGAATATGACTAGTCATAATATATTTGCAGATATCTCCAATTTGATTTCGTACTAGTGCAATTGTAATTGCAGATATCTCTAATTGTCATTCTGACTAGTCGAATTATAATTATGACTAGTCAAAATATAATTAGAGATATCTCTAAATATATTTATGGAGTCAGAACAAAGATTTAAATGCTAAAAAGGCTTGCCATAGAAAGCGCTTCTGAACAGCGCAGCAGCGATGACGTAAGCGTGCCGAGGCCCGATATGGTGTGAGCGCGGGCCGTCGGGGGAGAAGGGAGGGGGGAAAAGCGTGCTTTGGCCCGGTTCGAGGCAACTGTACCTAGTGTGAGTACGGCCTTAGTTAATGAGTTATAAATGACTTGTTAAATGAAAGTTAATAGTTTGTTAATTATTTATAACTGTGCCTTATAGAAAGCCAACAGATAACTTATAATCTGTTAGTTAACAAGTTATAAATGACTTGTTAACTGTATTTTAATGATTTATAAATTTAACTTATGAATTAGTAATAGATCATGAACAAGCTGTTAGTAAATTGCTTACTAAAGACTTGTTAAGTATCAGTTAATACTTTATATACGTTATTGGGACATTATTCTAAAGTTGCAGCTATTCTTCATTTATTAACTGTTAGTAAATGAGGAATAGTTGCAACTAGAATAACATCCCAATAACATACATAAGCTAATAACTAACACTTAGCTAATATATTAACTCGCACTTTACAGATCAGTTGTTCATAGTTTGTTAACCTACTAATACCGGTGAAACTTTGTGGAACAGCAAATGGATGGAACAAGTTCAAGCTACAGAAATTTGATGTGATATTTAAAGTATAACATTTTTGTACCTTAACCTTGTTCCACTCATAAGCTTTTGTGTGCTGTATTTTACCAAAGAAACTCCACAGATGAAATGTTAAACATTGTGAGTCATAACATGGCAGAACAGCAGTATACACCAGAATACAACCCTATGAGGTTTGGGCACTTATTTATTTATTTTTATTTTTTTAAAGTTCTACAAAGTTTCACTGGTGTTATTAGATGGTAAAGAAACTATGAACAACTGATCTGAGTTTGAGTTAATATATTAGTTAGGTGTTAGTTATTGGCTTATGTGTGTTATTGGGACGTTATTCTAAAGTTGCGACTATTCCTCATTTACTAACTAGTTTGTTTATGATCTATTACTGATTTATTAGGTATAGTTATAAATCATTAAAAAACAGTTAACAACAGTCATTTATAACTTGTTAACTAACACCTTGTAAGTTATTTATTGGCTATCTATAAGGCATAGTTATAAATAATTCACAAACTTCTAACTTTTATTTAACAAGTCATTTATAACTCATTAACTAACAGTTTATTAATGGACTATTAACTAGTTATAACACATAGTTATTCTAGTGTTACCAGTTGGGCTAAAACTTTTGCACAGTACTGTATAGGGTTGCACGGTTTACTGGTACTATGGTAGTACTGTGATACTACGGCTCCAAAATACTGGCGGTGCCACTGTAGTTTGTAAACAGTAGTATCATCATTAATGATTTATCTGCACTACATAATGTTGTATGTGGAAAAGTCACTAAAATGCCAACACATCTGTGCAACAATAAACCATTTTATTTAAATAGTGTGTGGAGCACTTTAAGGTTGCAAAACTATGTAGAATTCGCGCTTTTTATGGTAGCCTATTGCATGTTTTCTGATGTTTGAGTTCAAACGCACATCTCAATCAGTTAATTTCTGCTCCTATGATTTAGCAGCTTCAACATCCATGACAATCTCTTAAAATGGACATATTTGCTTTATAATTTTCATTAAAATCTCTACAGAATGCAGAGTGATTCAGAACCTGAAAGTGGAAAATTCCAGCATAGTCATCTTGAAAGCTCTGGCCATGAGGGACAACCCTGTGAAGGAGTCTTTCATTAAGAGTCAGCGAGCCAATCGCAGCGAGGAGCCAGCAGTCACCTGACCAGGAAGAAAAAAAAAACAAGATATAAAATACTGAAGTTCAAAAAGCAAAATTAAACTCATGCTAAATCCCCTGTCATGGCTTTTAAAGGGATAGTTCACCCATAAATGAAAATTCTGTTGTCATTTATTCACCCTCCATTTGTTTCAAACTTTTTAGGATAAATAACAAAAGAAGATATTTTGAAGAATGCTGAAAACTCAAAGACTCTCAGTTATCCCCCCCCCCTAATTTGCACTCAATGCCGCACTGTAAAAAATTTCATGACAAAAATTCAAGACAACTAATATTTTGATGTTGTTTAAACTTATTCTAATCAGGTTAATCAGGTTGTAATTACATTTCTGAAGTTATACAAAGTTATTTTTGTCAGTTTGATTGATGCAAGTTAAGCTGACTAGAAAAGTTCTTTTGAATTAACTAAAAAAATTAAGATTGCAAGAATTTTTTTTTTACAGTGTGGAGTGTTTTAACCCAATGTTGGGTCAAATATAAACAAAACCAACAGTTGGGTTAAAACAAAAAGCATTTTATATTTTATTAAAAAGGTGACGCAGTGGCGCAGTAGGTAGTGCTGTCGCCTCACAGCAAGAAGGTCGCTGGTCAGAGCATCGGTTGAGTCAGTTGGCATTTCTGTGTGGAGTTTGCATGTTCTCCCTGCATTCACGTGGGTTTCCTCCAGGTGCTCCAAATTCCCCGCAAACGTGCGGTACAGGTAGGCTAAATTGTCCGTAGTGTATGAGTGTGTGTGCATGGATGTTTCCCAGACATGGGTTGCGGCTGGAAGGACATTTGCTGTGTAAAACAGTGCTGGATAAGTTGGCGGTTCATTCCGCTGTGGCGACCCCAGATAAATAAAGGGACTAAGCTGAAAAGAAAATAGAATTTCAATGAATTTCATTAAAAAAATAACCCAATGTTTTCCCAGTACTGGGTTGTGGCTGGAAGGGCATCCACTGTGTAAAAAATATGCCGGAATAGTTGGTGGTTCATTCCGCTGTGGTGACCCCTGATAAATAAGGGACTAAGCCGAATGACAAAAAGAAGGAATAAATAACCCAATGTTCGATTTGTACATATTTGACTATACGTTTTTTTTTTTTGTCTGTGGTGGATACAAATGATCAGCATTCTTCAAAATATCTTCTTCTTCTATGTTCAACAGATAAAAGAAAAGGTAGAGTGAAATAGCAAGTAAATGTTGACTTTTAGATGAACTATTCCTTTAATAAAACACAGCAGCTAAACTACCAAACTGCAGCCAGCAGGGGGACACACTGTCAGGGGTGGGGTTTATTTCCACAGTGAGGCCTGTGAACACATTCCTGTTTACATCCCACTCCGATCTCCACCTCACAGCACAGGAATTTTCCACAGCCTCAAACCCATAAAACATACAGTAGGCTACCAGATGAAGGAAGTGTGTGCTTCAATATGTGGAATGTTGAAATGTTCAACACTTTTGGTTGCTACAAAATTGTTATAATCCAACTCTAAGTTTTAATGTTCGGTAATTCTGTGAAATAAGCCAAACATACATTCATGGAGCATTTATTAAATACACTAGCTAGCATTGTTTGGATTACTTACTACATTGTAAGGTGCTGCAAACAGTCATAGTGTATTCTGCTGCTGTAGACCAACTACTTTTTCCACATTTTTATTTCATCCTTTATAAACTCTTACAGGACTCTGGGCTAAGATAAAAAAAACACACACACAGAAATGATTACCCAAAGTAATTGTGTAATGAATACATATTTGGGTGGCACAGTGGCTCAGTGGTTAGCACTGTCGCCTCACAGCAAGAAGGTCGCTGGTTCGAGTCCCGGCTGGACTAGTAGGCATTTCTGAGTGGAGTTTGCAGGTTCTTCTCGTGTTGGTGTGGGTTTCCTACAGGTGCTCCGGTTTCCCCCACAGTCCAAAGACATGTACTATAGGTGTATTAGGTAAACAATATTGGCCAGAGTGTATAAATGAGTACATGTGTGTAAAACATATGCCGGAATAGTTGGCGGTTCATTCCGCTGTGGCGGTCCCTGATAATCAGGGACTAAGCCGCGGGAAAATCACAGAATGAATGAATACATATTAAAGGGAAATCAGTCTGGACACTAGACATGTATTGCAAACCTTAGAAAGAAAAAAATGGTGAATTAGAAGTTTTTCCCCTCAAATAAAAGTATACTGTATATATATATATATATATATATATATATATATATATATATATATATATATATATATATATATATGAAATTGTGGTATTAGTGAAGGTATTGGTAAAATAACATATGTATGCCTGTAGCATAGCACACAATATATACAATTTTTGCAATCAAATACCCTGAGACCAATAGAAGTGTTATTTTACTCACTCGACAACTTACATTATTGCAAATGCTTCGAATTTGTTCGAATGCTTCAAATTTCGAATGTTAATTCATACTGTATTTCATAATTCATAGTGTTCATACTGATGTTTTAAAGAATATGTAATATCTTGAGAGATTTATTAGCCTGCACATAGCAGTATTATAACAGAAGAAAAGTTGTTGTTTTTTTGTAACCAATAAAGCCGTTTAATAGCAAATTCTTATATTTTTTTTATTTCTTATTTGCACAGTAAAAAAAGTCAATAAATAACATCATCATTTTTATTGTTTACTTTATTTTCCACTTATTTAAATGTGCTTTGGCGTTGATGTGTTGCTATGTACTGTACAAACTGCCTATATATATATATATATATATATATATATATATATATATATATATATATATATATATATATATATATATATGTATGCATCTAATAATATGTGCTGAATACTTAAGCTCATTTTTCAACATGATTTCTGCAGAAATCCTGTAGGGCAGGCATGTCCAAACTCGGTCCTGGAGGGCCGGTGTCCTGCAAAGTTTCGTTCTAACCCCCATCAGACATACCTGGGCAAGCAAATCAAGCTCTTACTAGGCTTTCTAGAAACATCCTTGCAGGTGTGTTGAGGCAAGTTGGACCTAAAATAGAGTTTGAAGTTTGGACACCCCTGCTGTAGGATGTAATGAAGACCACAACTCCCATGATACCACTCTTGTGATACCAGAAAAAATACATACTGTGCCTTTAACTACAATCCAGTACATTAGGTGTGTTCAGAGTTTGACTACTAGTGCCTTTAATAGTTTTATTCCTAGCTCGAATTAGTTTTTTACAATGGTGGCATTAACATAAAAAGCTCTGACAATCCCATTGAGAGAGATAAGTTTCAAACACTGACTCAGGTTCAATGGGAAGTCACATGCAGACACGCCTCAGGTCAGCTATCTGAGCTGCTTTTTCAGTCGTGACTCATGCTTTGAGTTTACTGCTGCAGGCAAACAATCATGTTGAGGGGATTCCATGACACATAACACTGGTAGAGCTCCGAAAATATGCACACTGGATGATTTCTTGTCCAAACAGAAGACTTACCCAGAGCTCCTTGACAGATGTCTGTGCGTGTGGCTCCTCCAACAATGAACTGAGGATCATCACAGAGCTCCTGCAGAAAAAAAGAGGGATTAGAAGGACTGAAGCATTGGGAAGCCTGAAGGAGTTTCAAGAGTTTCTACAAACATGATATTTTATTAGAGCAGTTCAGCCAAAAGTTATTAATAAATATATTAATAAAAACCCCAGCCTCATATTGTACATGCTCATGTGGTTTTGTTTAGTGCACTACAGGAACAATTGTTCACTAAAACAAACTGAGCTACACTAAAAAAAAAAAGATGTTTGTTGTTTGTTTAAACTACTTATATAAAATGGGCTGAAACGAGACAATTCTTGAGGGTTTTCTTGGCAACAACTTCATTGTTTCATGTTCAATCCACTTAATTCCTTCATGTTGTGCCAATACAAATTGGTTGTGGGGAACCCAGCATTCAGTGTAAATTTTGTACTTTTTTTATTTTGTATTTTTTCTGTCTTTCATTTAAATGTTTATATTTTTATATTAAAAAAGAAACAAAAGCTGACACTTTGAGTAGGAATGCATTCATTTTTGATAACCGATAACTTGTAAGATTTGGAGGCTGATTATAGATATTTTGGCTGATAAATATAAATATCAGCTCATGTGTTGTTTTGAGTCCGTTATTTTTTGTATCAATTACATACTATTAGTTTTTTTTAATTTAATTTAGCCTTTTTTCTGTCTTCCATTTTTATTTTTGTCATTTTTTATAAAAAAGGAAACAACAACTGACACGTTGAGTAGGGATGCCTTTTTTGACCAATACTGATAGCAAGTGTCAGACAGAATCTGCAGACATATTTTGCTATTTCTGCGCAGAACTTTGTAAAAAGTCTGTGGATTTATGTGAAATGATTTTGGGAGTATCGTAACTAAAAACGTAATATGTGAAATAAAAAATACCATTTTAACTTTTATTTAATGTTTACAATGTAAATCCAAATAGATCCAGTTATTTAAAGCAAGTCTTTCTTATAATATATCTAACAAAAGACAGAAAATGCCACTTTACAAACTATATTGTAGGTCAATAATATTTCTGAAATGAATTTAAAAACTGAATAAACATAAATGTACACACATTTACACAAGCAATTAAATAGACTCAATGATGGGCTTAAAATCTGCAAATTTCTGCGTGTGCAGATTTCATGTGGGCCTACCGATATCTTGTAAGATTTGGCAGCTGATTGCTGACATTTTAGATAAAATCAACTTGTTTTTTTTGTATTAATGACATACTATTCATTTTTTTTTGCAGAATTTTTTTTTCAGTTTTAATTTTAATTAAAAATGAAACAACAGCTGACACATTGAGTAGGAATGCACCAATATGGAACTAGGGCCAGACAGAGTCTGCAAACATTGATCATCCGGCTACTTCTCGCATACTGATTTTCGAATTCTATGAATTCGAACATACTACTCAGCTCACATACTGATTTTAGCGTACTACATAGTATGGAAGTATGTGGTTTCACATGCAGCAATATCGTATATATCTATGGGCGATCACAAATTAAAGAACAGGAAGTGATGGACTGTTTCATAATAAAAGATCTGCAGTTTCTGTGCATTTCTCATTAGAAAATGTTTTAGTGCTCTCTTTACTCTGCGTTTTACAGGCAAAAGTTGTTGTTTTTTTTAACCAATAAAGCCGCTTAATTGCAAACACTTTTATTTTTTTATTTCTTATTTGTACTGCTAAAAAAAAGTCAATAAATAACTTCATAAATTTTACTGTTTACTTTTTTTCCACCTATTTAAATGTGCTTTGGGGTTGATGTGTTGCTATGTACTGTATAAACTGCCTATGTATGTATGTATCTAATAATATGTGCTGAATACTTAAGCTCATCTTTCAACATGATTTCTGCAGGAATGCTGTAGGTTAGGCATGTCCAAACTCGGGTCGGGAGGGCCGGTGTCCTGCAAAGTTTAGTTCCAATCAGACACACCTGGGCTAGCTAATCAAGCTCTTACTAGGCTTTCTAGAAACATCCTTGCAGGTGTGTTGAGGCAAGTTGGAGCTAAAACAGAGTTTGGACACCCCTGCTGTAGGGTGTATTGAAGACCACAACTCCCATGATACCACTCCAGTGATACCAGAAAAAATACATACTGTGCCTTTAACTACAATCCAGTACAAACATTGTTTGCTATTTCTGCGCAGGATTTTGTAAAAAATCCACCCAAGATTTTGGGAGTATCGTAACTAAAAACCTAATGGATCAAAATAAAAAAATAAAAAAATGTTTACAATGCAAGTCCAATTAGATCCACCTATTTGGTAAAGAAAGCAAGTCACTCATATAATATATCTATTAAAAGATAGAAGATATTATTTAACAAACTGTAATGTAATGAGCATTTTCATATTAGTCAATAATATTACTAAAAACTGAATAAATATAAAATTACACACAAGTAAATACAAATCTGAGGAAATTTGCGTTCCTAAAATACTAGTTTTTTAGTTTTTAGTTTAGTTTTTTATTTAAATATTTTACTTTTAGCCATTTTAGTAAATTAAGGTGATGTACATGAATGAGAAAAATGTTGCTTTGGTAAAAAAAAGACAAATATTGTTATTTCATTTTTAATAATAAAACATATTTAGTGTTTTTTAATAGCATTATTTTAACAAAATGTAAGCTACCGCAGCCATGCCTGAGTTGACAGAGAAACATCATCTGATATGAAACAATCCTATTCTTTAAAGAATGAACAAAGACTCTTCTGAATGTGAAGCTGCACTGGAGGAATCATGTGTTCTCTGACCAAACGTGTCTGCAGAAACATTATAATCTGTGTGTATGTGACTCTGTAATAGTGACAACAGCTGCAGGAGAGTGGAGGGAGGGTCAAACATTCTGACTATGAACTGCACCGATGAGTGAATCCAAAACCAAAAGCATTTGGCTGTCTAGACCACCAAGAACATGCATTTCATAGCATTCATGAGTATACAATATCAGAAAAAAGGTATATTTAATAAGAACACATATCAAGAAACAAAACCATATATACACCTTAGAAAATCTGTTAATTAACAGTTCTTGTATTTTGTGCACTGAAAAAAATATTAATTGACTTTACTTAAAATAAGTGAGTAAACCCATTGCTTTTCAAGCAGTTTGTTGACTTTACTTTAAAAAGTGAGCAAACCCTATTGTCTTAAAATAGTAAATGAACTATGTGCACAATTATTTAAAAAAGGAAGTTAAATCAACTTAAAGGTTGCAAGTTACAACGGGTTTACTTTTTAAGTAAAGTCAACTTGTGACTATCAATGCAACGGGTTTACTCACTTTTTTAAGTAAAGCAAATACTCACCTTTTTACAGTGTGATTCACAAGTGTTTTTCCATTTTGTTTACAATGGATAAATCCATTATGGGAGCTTGATCTCTGCTCTGACAACTTTTGATGTTGAAAAATTAACTCTACAGTTTAACAAAGTGACTTTTATTGACATTTTAGTAGTTTGAAATAATATATAATGTAAGGCAAATAATATATAGAGAAATAGGTCTATAAAATAACAGTAAATGTACTGGCAGTTTACTACAAGGTACAACACCAGCCCAGGCAATAAATCACTTTAACATATTAATAATGTTGATAAAAGTCTTTTTTTTTTTTACTTTTTAAGGCTAAAAGTTGCTGAGAGAAGATCAGGATCCCATAATCCAATTCAAAAACATAAATAAATGAGAGAAAAAAAAATCACAAAATATGGAAGACTGCTAATTTACAGGTATTTTTTCAGTGTTTGTACTGTCTATATACCAAACTGGTAAAATGGTAATCATGAAAAATGCAGATAAAAGGTATTATGTTTACCACAAAAATGAAGCAGTAAAACAGTTTTCCACATTGATAATAAGAAATGTTTCTTGAGCATCAAATCAGTATATTAAGATTGTTTCTGAATGATCATGTGAGACTGTATAATAAAAATACAGCTCAGTATTACATCAATACATGAAACTTTTACATATATTATAATAGAAAATGTTTCTTTATACTATTATATTACTACCTTTATGTATTTTGACCAATAAATGCAGACATGGTGAGAAGTTTTAACCCCATTTCACACAGTGAAAGTCAGTTAGGTAGGTCTAAAATTGCTATTTTCATCCATGAATGTATTAAAAGTTTATAATATAATCAGTTTTACTGACGAGCATCTTACAAAACAAACAAAAGTAACCAAACACAACAAAATACAACATGACCCTAACCAAGGCTGCACATTATATTGTTTCAGCCTTAAAATTTGTGGAGTCACTGCAGATTTAAACTACAATGCAAAACTCTGTCAGTCTATTCAGGTTTTAATGTATCTGCGCCAAACCTATTCTAAACCAAAGTCCCTACGGTCTTTGTCTAAACTCATTCATCTGCGTAATAAATCCAAGTTTGTTTTCTCTCTGGCTGGGAGTCTTCCCTGTCACAGTCTGCTACCTCCGGTTTGTTTAAGGGGGGCGTGACCAGCGGCTAGTTTGAGCACTGCTGATTAGGGGAAATGAAGCTCTGCTCACTTTATTGGTTAATAAGCATGTCAAACAAAGAGGACTGTCATGCTTTTGCTCTTATACAGAGATGAGTCTAAATAGAGATTAGGGTTAGGTATCGTTTGGGTTTTTTTCGATACCGGTGCTAAATCGATACTTTTAAAAGGATAACATTGCCAAAATGGTGCCTGAATCGATAATTTTAAGCCACAAAATTATGGTGGATGACTCTAGAAAAATCTTTTATTTAACAAAATCTTTTAAAAAATAATTTTAATAGAACAATATAATTAAAGTTTAAAGTAAACATCAATTCATAATTATATATTTGAATTACATTATTATATATTTCCTTTGATCTTTTGTTGGTTAGCATGAATTTAAGATTTACCTGTGTGTGGTTTGAGGGGGGTTGGCAGGGGGAGTGGGGGGTGGGAAGATAAAAAAGAAGATAAGGGGAGCGAGTGCCCGAGGGAGCAAGAGAGGCATTCCTTTGCCTTTTTGA